AGATCCAAAACGGTATTTCTGAATGCGTCAACTGCTTCTTCTGGTGTCTGGAACCTTTGATCACGCAGTCTGTTTTTAATTTTCGGGAAAGTAAAGAAATCGTTAGGACATAGATCGGGACTATATGGAGGATGGTCCAATAATTCCACGTTTTCTTCCTTTAAATACTGCCTTGTTTTTTGGGCTGTGTGCTAGCTTGCATTGTCTTGGTGGAGGATGATTCTTTTTCGAAACACTTCGAGAACGCATGACTTTTGTTGGCTTTTCTTTACCTTGGAACACCCAAACAGCCGACTGCCGTTTATTTTCTGGTTCATAACAGTAAATCCACGATTCATCACCACTAACAATGCTGTACACATTTTTTGAATTTCCGGAATTGAAACGGCCAAGCGTTTTTTGACACCAATTAACCCTGGCTGCTTTTTGCTCTTCAGTCTACAGGTGGGGTATCCAACGAGAAACTAATTTTCTTACTCCTAATTCTTCATGTAAAATTTTTTGATTTGAGGTCTTTGAGATCTTCAAGGAGGCCTCAATCTCGCGATATGTCACATGTCTATCTTCAATGATGAGTTTGCGCACAGCATCGACGTTTTCCTGGGTGACTGCCGTTTTTTGGTGCACCCACCCTGGAATCGTCGCTAAGACTCACCCGTTCACGTTTGAATTCTCCATACCAACGGGAAATTGTTGACTGATGTGGCGCTTCGTTGCCGAAAACAGACAGTAACTCAGCAAGGCATTCTTGTTGCGATAATTGTCTCTGAAAGTTGTAATAAATTAAGGCGCGAAAATGTTCTCGGTTGAGCTCCATTTTTCTAATGACTTGGTGATGCTTAAAAATTCAATGTAGTGAGAACACTACACGTATTGTTGAGAAACTTTGAATTTAAGTTTACTAAAGAGTGAGGTTAAGATTCAGTACTGACGTTCGATCCGCGCGGCCTACTATGTTTCTATATGCAAAACTTAAAAGACATCCCTCGTATATGAGCGCTTAGCTACAGCGCCATCTACGAGACACTAACCTTTTCAACGTAGATTTTCAATTCTCGTAAAAAGGAGAAACATAGCTATGACCAATTTTTAGAGATAACGCTACATACCTCATTTCATCTCGAACAATTTCTTGGACGCGCGAATATAGTATAAGGTTGGTTATCTTTGAATTGAATACGTTAATCAAGGATGTGGAATAAATGTTAATATTTGCGTTTTTATGTTATGTTTAAGCACATAACAGAAAGACGAAGAGCGAAGACATTCTACAGACTTCGGAATGAGAAATTTCCAAAAATTTTGACATACATATTAACAATATTTTACCAAGATAACTAATGACTTTCTTAAAAAATTCTCTGGCTTTGGTAGTTTGACATGTATCAGTTGATTTCTACAGTGGAAATTACAGATGTTTAAGTAAGTTCACTTTCAGTTTTCAGAATCGAATTCCGAATTCATTTTTTTTGTTTAAAGATTCTTATGTCTAGTTCCAATGTGATTTTATGAACCCCTGAGCGTGATAATCGAACAAGATTGTAGCTATTTTAAAGCAAAATCTAAAAGTGTCAGATTTAGGGGAACCATACAAGGTAGATACATTGCCTGAATATATACATGCGAAAAATTACATTTCAAGTAGTTGGATTGAAACCTCTGCAAATAAGTAATATAATCCTGCAGAAGGGAAACCCTTGTGCGCCGGCAAACATTTATAATTTGTCGCAGTAAGAACTTAAAATACTAAAGAGTAATTTTAAAATGCATATACAAGGTGGTCAAACCAAAACGGATGTTTTTGTAACGGGTAGTACGTGGAGCTGTGTGATCGGTCAAGGTCGCAGACTCCCTCAACTCGTAGCCCACACTGGGACGTTTAGTTGCAATGGAAAACTGGAGCGTGCAGCATCGCGTGTTTGCCGTTGAAGAATTTATTCGCAATGGCGAGTCTATCGTGGTTACTCGGCGTGCGTTCCGTCGTCGGTTCAACCTAGCGCCACGTAATGTGCTTCCTTCGCGTAACACAATACTGAGATGGGTAAATGATTTTCGTACACACGGTAGTGTGAAGATAAAAAAGAAAAGAGGTGGCCGAATTGTAGCCACACCTGATGAATGAAAGAGAGCAGGCAGTGACAGTCACTCCGCCCGGTACCTGGGTATGCTTCAAGAATTTTTCATCCCTTATCTTGAAGAAAATGAGATTGACGCTGGCAGCATCTGGTTTCAACAGGTCGGGGCTACAGCTCACACAGCAAGGATTTCTATGGACTTTTTAAGAGCGACTTTCCCTCGACGCGTAATATCCCGAAATGGTGATGTTCCCTGGCCTCCACGCTCCCCAGATCTTACCCCTGTGACTTCTTTCTTTGGGGCTACTTGAAGTCTAAAGTTTATGTTAACAGACCAAAAACCATCCAAGAATTAAAGGAAGCCATCAGAAATGAAATCACGGCGATATGGTGCAAAGGGTAATGACAAACTTCAACAAGCGCCTGGACGAATGCATTGCAATGGAGGGTCGCCATTTAAATGACATTATTTTTCACACTTAAATATGTTTTCGATATTTTTGGTTTGACAATAAAATTTCCTGAGTTTATCTACACATTGACTTAATTTTCAACCCCGTATGATAAAAATTTAAATTTTGACAGGGTCTTAAAATTCGTCCGTTTTGGTTTGACCACCCTGTATAAAGTTACAGAATTCTAATAAAAGGTGAAGTTTAAATTAATCAGAGAATTAAATTAAGTGAAAATTTTGGTCTAAGGCTATAATTGGTGTTTGAAATTTTAATCAAAATTATCATTTCAGAGTATGTTGTGATTTATATTTTATTTCTGAATAGAGAAACAAATTATGTCAATATTTTGGTATACGACTATATTTGTCTTTTTTTGATGTCAATCATTTGCAAAATATCATAGTAGGTGTAAAATCCATGTTTTTTGTTTCTGATTGGAAAAAGCTTTTGGACTGGATTTGATTTTTTCGGTTGTGAAACACCTGGCGTCGAAGGCAATAGATGACCGTTGTCGAACATTATTTTCTGGTTTGGGAACATCAATATAATTTTTATTCCTGATATTGTATTCTGACAATATTAATGTTATGTTGATTTTATATTGCCACGTCAGTGTATACAACAGATATAGTTGTCCAATATCAAGAATGTTTGAGTCATGGAAAAGATGAAATGTACTAAGCAGCGTGTACTGTACAAGCAGCAAGAAAAGCTCTAGTATTAATGTGTATGTTCTTGTTCCTTAATAATTATCTGGGATATGCTCCTGCACTTATCAGTGGCATTCATCCAGATGAATCATTTCTTTAGACAGACCACAGACCCATATCACAGCATTAGGCACCACCATGTGGATGTACGCTTTATATCCACGCCAACCAGCGAGGAAGTATTGTAAACGCGAAACATTTGGAAAATGGGATACATTTTTTTTATATCATTTGGAAAGTACTGGTAGGATTTTGATAAAATTTTGACTCAATGTTCCGACTATGCCAAGGACGAAAAAGCTCTTGAACATTTCTAGCAGAAAGCTTTATAGCAGTTAAAATTGGGCGTTGCAGGGGGTGGGAGCGGGTATATGTAAATTTTTGGGTGTTAGTTATTTGGTACATTTGCCGGTAAAACTAAAAATGATGTCAATACTTGCTTCCCACGCAACACAACGAACGTAGATTTACCTGCGACAGACTGAATGATGTCTGACCGATGGGTGGTTGGCGAGAGTAAGGTTAGTCATAGCAACGTTGCCAAATGATCAGTACTGTCGGGGGACAAGGGAAAAATTTGAAAACGTTAGATGGGTGGGGACTATGGACTAATTGTATAGACCCGGTTAACTCTCTTTGCTACGCATTTTAACTTTTGATTTGATAAACGCGTTGCGTGGGAAGTGCAGAGTCAACCCACTTCACAGCATTTTTTTAAATTATTAACTAAATGGGGGCCTGGTTTTGGACAGTTTCAGTGGATTCTTTTTGGCTTAGTTGGATTTGGTAGTCTCAGGTATAGACACGTGGGCCCCCAAGAATGTTTTGTCCATGAACCTCACTCAGTAATCCCGCCTTTAAATCAATTCCAGCGCACCACCCTTTCGATTTCTCGCCCCCACTGGCCGCGGCAATAAAATTGAAATAAAAACAGGCCGCTAATACAAACACGTGCGCGACAATTTCTTCCTTAACTCGAACATTATCTGTGAAGTCATAATTCACAAACGCATGGCGACTATTTCACAGATTTAGGAAAAGGGGTTGAACAATAAAAGGCTGTATTAGAGTATTCCACTGAGACAAACTTTTATTATTTCGTGGACAAAGGGTCAGAACTAAACAACAGTATCAGGAGAGAGCTAGGCGTTTAGGGACAGTTTCACCAGTTGCAGTGATCTGCAGAAATATTTTAAAGAGGTTTGGATATACGTAGAAAACAAATTTGTAACTTTTCTGAATTGAAAGGGATGTTTGAGCTAGAAAGTTGTGCTTCCAGTACTCTGAAGTACCGTTATCTATTACTATATAAACATATCTGTAATTTATTTAGTCCAGGAGGTATCTATGCATCTAGCACCTATTCATGGATCGTTCTGAACAAAAAAGTTCTCATGAAAATTTGTCTAAAGTTGATAGTTTTCGAGATATAAGCGATTCCATATTTGAGAAAGTGCAGAATATGCCATCTTGATCCCAAATAACAACATGAAAAAACTAAAATTTTAGCAATGCTAAAGTTCTTAAATATTCTACAAATATCCATTAGCAAAATACCAAAGCATTTAAGGAGGCGCACGTAGTATATTTATTGAGCGTGTGCTTGATTAACAATTAAACAACAAATGTCAGCAAAACAAAATCCCCTAGAATGCAAGGATGAGTCGATGGATCTATCCTATAGTTTTTTTATTATAATAAAGGACGATGTTATCAGGACAGGCAATGGAAACCAGAAGACATCAACATACCAAGATTTTATTTATTATAATTTAAAACTAATGATAGGACTAGAAAAAGACGGGAGAACATGTATTCAGCGAATTTTCAATTCTGACAAGTATTTACAATTTTTGGCATCATCTTACGCTCTCATTCTGCACAAAATTGTACAAATCCTCTAAAACTTTCAAATGCACATATTAAATAATTGTTCAGTGTCTCAGATTGCATTTACTGAAAAATCCGCTGAAGTCCAAAAATTATATCACATATAATACTTCCATAAAGATGTCAAAAGTTTCTCCAATACAGCACCATTAGGTCATCCTGCGCTCACTCCTGTAACAAATAAAGAAAACGATATTAAATGTTGATTCTAATACAAAGATGTATAGTTTTAAGAGACTACCCAGAGGAGATTGTTATCGAATATTCCATGCGACATATTCTCGCCAGAGACAATAATTATATGTTTGTGATTCTCGTCATCGTTTGTCACTGTGCTGTCACTTTTGTCTAATAATTATTTAATTAATTAAGACGGGTGTAGGAAAAATGTGATCTATAACAAAAAAAAGTAAGCTCCTAAATTGTCATGTGTCATTTTGTTGTACTGCAAAAAAATCTCGAACACCTTTACCTTAACATAGCCAACCATTTTAGCGTCTAAAAAAGTATATGAAAAATACTAGTGTCATCTATGAAGCAGTAGCAGAACGCAAAAATGAATTCTACTTTGAAAAGTGATAAAGACAGATAAGAGAGGAAAGAGAGAGAAGGGGGAAAAGAGAGCAAAAATAGAGAAAAAGAGAAAAGGTAGAAAATGGAGATAAGAGAAAAAAGGAAAAGGGATAAAAGAGAGAAAGGAGAAAATATAGAAAAGAGAGAAAAAAGAAAAAGGAAAAAGGAAACGAGAAAAAGATAACAAGGAGAAAAGAGAGAAAGAAAGAAAAGCGATAAAAGAGAAATGGAAGAAAAAAGGGAGCACAGGGAGAGGAGAGGACAGGGAGACAAAAGGGGGAAGAGAGAGGAAAGAAAAAAGAGAAAAGATAGTAAAGAGAAAAGAGAGAAAAGGGAGGAGAGGGAGAACCGAAAGAAAAGAGGAATGCGTCTCATAGATGGCACTAGGATCTTCAATCCCTTTTGTTCCCTCTAATGCCTATTTTAATTGGGTATCTTCACGTGAAATACGTTAATAATGACTGAAAATGCCTAGTTAAAATTGACGTTAGCATTCTAATTCATTTTTATGTTCTGCCACGGTCACATAGATGGGCGCTAGTATCTTTCAGAACCTTTTTTTGGACATCGTAATACAGAATAGGGTTGGCTACCGTCAGGTAGAATACGTTAATCAATGCAATTGAAACCAAGTATTTGAAAATATTCTTCTATACAGAAATCAGGATTTGTAAACCGAGATGGCCATTTTAGAAGTTATATCAGGAAGTGAGAAACATCAGCGCGAAATAGTGACATTCGATATATTGGTTGGACAGATGAGCATATCGACACACTTCGCCAGCCTCTTGATCTTTCCACTTCGGTAGATGTATTATATTAATACAGAAATAAAGTAAAATACGTCACGTCGTCATTTTATTAGACATATTCCTGAAAAAGAATTCCTATTGTCCTTTCTTCAGCATAATACCGGATATCTGCAAGATTTCTGTATCATATCCCGGCATTGGATACACAGAATAGAAGGACTTCTGAAAGCGCTCCGATGAAAAATAGCAGGTAAAATCACTTTCTGTGCCCTTTGTCCCATATCACTCCCTAGCAGCTACTGTGTCTCTCTAAGTACTGACACTTCCACAATGCTGAAAGCACTTTTTTAGACCCTCGGTACAGTAGACCAAGCATCCGTTGAATACATAGCTTTAAGGGGCCGAGGGATTGGTAGGTAGGGTCGACTGTAAGTGAAACTGATATGTTTGTAAGTTGTCTAAATTTTAGAACGAGGCTGTATTTCAGTTACCGACAAAAGGGCATTTGCTATTATTTGTTTGGACGGTATAAACAGAAATTGACACCGAGGTGTTATTTTTCTTTTTTTTTCAGGTGAATAGGCAGATTATTGATTTATAAGGTTTTTTATTTTCGACATATGAGGATGATAGATAGGATAACAGCGGGGTCGCTTTACATGGCTCAATTTTATGGAAAAAAACAGAATTGAGATCTACAGTTCAGAAAAATGACGTACTCTGAAAACAGACGATAAGCATTTGTAGGAATTATTTCATAAAGATGTGATTATTTTGAAACGTTACACTTCCAAGTCATAGAGGGTGATTTTACTATATTGTTTAGACTTTGGCATTAATTTTGAAGTTATTTATTGAAAACTATTAAAACATTTCCAAATGTTGCTTAAGCTGGTGTAATAAGATAATTTGCTGACGCATTGAACAGAATTGTAGTCACATTTCCGAACAAAGAACCTCATCAAAGAGCTTAAAGTGACCAATGAAATTTTATCATTATCGTCATACGAATATGTTGATATTCACATAATTTGATACAAAAAATATTAATTAATTATTCATTACTTTTATTATTATCAATTACTACTGAAATCCTTAATGGATTTCATCGGTTCAGCTGCACAATAGTATTTCACAAATACGCGTACATACCTATACTTCATACTTACAGAAAAAAAATTCTTTACATTAACTAGATACGTCGCAGGCCTACTGACGAGGACGTATCATTATATAAAATTTCGAAAATGAGACATTAACTTCTTTGGATATTATATGGCATGTACAAATACAGGGTGGCCAACTAAGAATGCGAGGTACTGTGTCTGAGAACCTATCCGTCGTAGAGACTTGCGACAAAAATTCTTACTGGAACGACTAAAAGCAAACCTGGAAAATATGTTTAAGTTTTTGGAATGACCGCTACGGAGCGTAACTAAAACTTCTATGAATTCCGCTAATAATGTAAACTTTTCTGTTTGACAATATTTGCTGTATCTCTAAAAATAAATGAGCTTAAAAAGGACCTAGGTATTTGAAAAATAAAGATTTTTAATACCCCCGGAAATGCTCGAAATGCTGACCAAGTTCTATGCAGGTTCAGATTATCATCGAATTTAAAGATCAGGTATTTTTGAAAAAACTTTGTAGTTTTTAAAAAGTCGGTACAGTGGCGGCGGATAAAAAGGCTAAAAAAGAAATGAATAACAATCGCCCAAACTACGTTTTTTGATTTTGTTTGAGGTTTTTGGAGGTGGGGGAGGTTATCTCAATCTTTGATGTAACTATGAATTGAGTACATTATTGATTGCTTGATAAAAAGGAATGCAGTTCAGACAAATACTTATTGGAACAACTCAAGATGACTGTTTCTCAATTCAAGATGTTCCTCTTGACCCAAGAGCCTTTAAGGTGTTTCGATTCCACTTTTTATTCAATCACATGACAATCAATTAATTCACACCCTTTCAACGATTCAATTTCAGCCAGTGATAAATTATAAAAACGAAGGGAGTGACAATCGCAATACAGCAATAGGGATCCAGGGACGGGGTCCAGGTCATTTGAAACAAATGCCGCACTGTCCCTGCTAAAAAAAGAAGGGTAGGCCGTGGATTTGCATACGGCATTCGATGCGCTTTTCACCATCCCGTTATGACGCTGGGTTCGGGACATATATTAACTTGTAAACAGATGTCTGAAATTATGCGAATCAGATGCTCAGTGAGATGTTAATTGATCCTTTTTTGAACCCTGCTCGGTGGCAATTAGATAGGCTAGCGGAAACTAACCTCGGTTGGTGGAATTATTTTTTGATTATGTATTAGACCTAAGTAAGTAGGTGGTTCTTATAGCAGAGACTAACAGCTCGACAACGCCGATGGGTCAGTATTTAACAGTGTACTGTCTGAAAAGTTCTGGAATCTCACTATAATTTTTGAACTAAAAATGGGGTATGAAAAAACTTAGCCCCACTTTTGTTAGGAGTTTTCCCCAGCATACCAATAGTAAACTTGGATTTGACCTTGATTGAAGGTCACGTCGATTTTTTTAATGGTACCCCTCATTTTTGACACCGTAAATGAAAAGAGCGGAAAATTTACGTTTAAATATGGTCTTGACCATTCTTGAGTTTTGACCTTAGAAGGACATGTCCAAGGTCAAACCCACGTATGGTAACAAAGCTTGATAACTAGTAGTCGCATAAGGAAACTACCGAGACACTATTTTCATGATTTTTCCCGGATGTCCAATTCAACAAGGTTTTCAAATTTTGGGGTTCGCTTCACGTGAAAATCGAAAAAAGTAACATTTGATTGTCAGTAGTCATCAGTACTGTCAAATTACCACAGTTCATAAAACCTTTAGTTTTCTAACCCCCCTTATTTGCTATCGCTGGCACAAATAACGTAACGAAATACTTAACGATTCATTATTATTCTTGTTGCACTAAAGACTCTCTACCATGTTTGTAAGAAGACAGGTGTTAGATAGATAGATGGATAGATAGATGCTTTATTGTCTTCGGATCAGAGGTCTGATATAAGACTCGTCAGACATGTCTCTATAGGTACATTATGATCTACAAAACTTGAAAATATATTTAAGTATAAATACAAAAAAAAATTCGAAAAAGCAGCGGGTTAGTGGAAAAGACAAAGGATGCATGTGCGCACAAATGACAACATACACTAAACAAGCAGATACACAAAAAAAAAAACGGAACAAGGTGTATAAGAGGTAAGTAGAATAACAATAGAAAAAATAAAAGGTATTTCCTACTTAATTTTATTTAGGTGCATCGCTCTTACGCTGAAAGAAACCCAGATACTGAGTAGTAGCATTTTTCTATTAACAGATTCCTCAGCTCTTTCTTGAACCTATTTGAGCATCTAATATCTTTTAGTATTGATGGCAACTTATTGAATACCTTGGTCAGGCGTAGGCTGGTAATTTTTCGAACATTGACAATGTATGCTTTGCTCTACTGTTGTAGTTCGTGTTTAAGTCCTTGTTCTGCAGAAACTGCTCCCTGTGATTGAAAGTGTAGAGAGCGTATTTATATATATATATATATTCGGAAGCGTTAGCAAGTTATTATGCTGAAATATTGCTTTACATGATTCTCTCCTTTTAATGTTAAATATCAGCTTTACAATACGTTTCTGCAAAATAATCACTCTGGACGAGGTGCATGCTTGTCCCCAGACGATGGTGTGATTTGACAGGTGCAAATACACCATTGCGTGGTACACATCTATCAGCTTTAATTTCTATATCGCATAATAGGACCTATTCAGTTTCCTGCATACACTGTCAACTTGTTGCTTCCAATTTAATCCTGCATCCAACTCAATACCCATCCAGGTCGTAGAGTCTGAGATTGTACTGTTAATAAGACGTAGAGAACTAGAGTAAAAGTGAACAACTACCGTCTTGTAACTCGTCTCAGCTTTATCAATTCTATAATTATGTTTTATTATCAGAAAATCGGATGCTTCTCATCATGACCCAAATACCAAATAAAGAGAAAAGGGCAGTGAGTAAAAGCAAGAGTGACACACACCGCAAATATACACTCGTACGTACCAAATTACTATTTAATCTGGCAGCAAATATTGACCTAAAGCCTTAGTGCGAAGGGAAGCAAAACAGTTGCGAAACGCATGTTGCACGTGCTGCTGTTTCCTTGATGTCGCTTTGATGACAGGTTATGGTTGCCGTAATTTGGCTGTGTTATTTTCTTTGGGTTATCAAGGCAACCTTTATGAATGGACTGGCGTGAGGGTGGTCTAAGTAATGTTGCTTAGAAATTGAAATCTAATTGCGAATAACAATTTAAAAGAATGTGTGCTGCTAAATATAGTTTTCATTGTCACTTCTAATGTTACAGACTCAGGTGGAAAAAATAACATCCTTGAATTGCCTGAAATGCTGAAATGGTAAAGTAAAATAATATCAAATTTTTACCTTGGCGGTCCATGACAGCGAGAAGAAACACCGTGATGTCCGTGATGCCCATGGAGATTGTTGGCCATCCTCAACTGGAAACAATTATCATTTTGTATTATACCTACCTATCGGTATATAAGATTTTATACAGATATTTTCACTAGACCTCGTGAACTATACAGGGTGTCCCATAATATGCGAATCAAATTGCAATGGGAGATACCTTAGATAATGACCTCTCAACTGTGGTACAGACCTGACAAAAAAAACGTGTAACCTTTGCGTTAAAACAAAAAGTATGACTTTCGTCAAACTTTCGACGACAGGTGCCGCGTTTAGGGTTTATTCTCATTTTTTTTTCACTATTATTATTAGCGAATGATTGAAGCATGAAACTACAAACAGTCACGTAATTTTGAAATCGCAGCGCTATTTTGGAATTTTTTTTCTGCATCAAAAAGTTTCTTGTAAGTTCGACTAACAGTGGTATAAGAAAAATGTATGGGACTTGTTTGGCAAACCTCCCCAAAAAATAGCCCAATTAATGAAGATTCGAAAATGGTACAATCGCCAAATTTCGCAGCAAATATAAGATCAGAGGCAGTTTCACCGGTCCACGTGGAGTAAAGCACGCCTATGCGTGGACATAGCCAATGAGAAAGCGTGTATTTCAGAGCTCCGAACAAGTGCAGGTGGCTACTGAAAATTGAAACAGTTTAGCCAGTGCCGTGTAGCGGTGAATAAACGTGTTTTCTTTAGTCTGTCCGTGTTTTTTTCATAGATTTTATTAGTTTGTGTGTTTTTGACTTTTGAATACTCAGTTTACTTGTTGATTTAATTGTTGTGTTGATTGTTCTTGTGTGTCCTAAATATGGCTCTTTGGAGACCTTGGGAAAATGCTCCAAGCCACGAGGAGATGGTTGATGAACCTGTGCAGGCAGAATTCTTTCATAAAGATTTAGAGGAACAGACCCAAAGAGTAATCCTAAATATGTATGATTGTCTGAAAAACGAAAATCCAGATTCCTCGCAAAATCAAATTTTAAACAGAATTTGTATCCTGACAAAAATCAGTCGGTCTACCGTTTATCGGGTTATAAAAAGGGGAGATGTAGTCAACCATTCCTTCCACAGAAAGCGCATAGGGCAAAAATTAAAAAGAATAGACGTGGGTTTTCAGGAAGATATTCGTCGTATAATATACGGATTTTATAAAGAAAATTTGGTGCCCACGTTGGAAATGATACGGGATAAATTAAAAGATTATCCTGAAGATTTTTATAATTACAAATGCTTAGACTCACTGCACTGTATTGTAAAACTGTGTGGTTTTCAATACAAAAAATTAGATAAAAGAGTGGTGATTATGGAGTCGTCTCGAATCGTTGAATTGCGCCAAGAATTTTTGCACAAAGTTAAAATCTATAGAGAGCAGAAAAGAAATCTGATTTACCTGGATGAAACGTGGTATGATACCCATGATGTTGTGCAGTACGGCTGGGTTGACGACAGCAACAAGTGCATTTTAAATGCACCATGCAACCGTGGAAAACGAATCATTATTCTCACTACCTAATGCCTTGCTGTTATCTGCCAAAAATATCAAAGAATCATGTGCCGACTATCATGAGGACATGACCTCCGACTTATTTGAAAAGTGGATAGAGCAGCAGTTAATACCAAACATTTCCCCAAATTCAGTGATTATTATGGACAATGCGCCATACCATTCCCGACAGAAAAACAAAATTCCGAATACAGGCACAAAAAAACAAGACATTATTGATTTTATGAAGGATAAGGGAATGGAAATACCACAAAAATCAACCAAAGCCATATTATTGGATCTTATTAAAAGACAAAAATTTGAAAAAGAGTATGTTGTTGACAATCTGCTTCAGCAAAATGGCCATGAAGTATTACGTCTACCTCCCTATTACTGCATTTTTAACCCGATTGAGTTGGTCTGGGCTGCTTTAAAAAAAAGTAAGAAAACATAATCAGACCCCTCAATTAAGTGAATCGCTATTGGCCACAATAAGAGATGCAGTATCTCATATTGCTGCCACAGACCTATGAAAGCAGTGTTCTAGGCATAGTATTGAAAAGAAAATGAATATTGTGTTTTGCCTCCTGTAAATCCCGTTGTAATTCCTCTACAAGATGACTCTAGGGACAGCTCCGAAGGCGAGGATGATATATAAATACCTATAATGTAAGTCTTTATATACCTTTTTATATACCTACCTGCTATGTAAATATTTGCCTATGTCAAACGTTGGAATTCTGTAATTTTTCCATTTCTTAACTTTCAGTCAACATAAATTAAACACCCAATATAAGTATTTTTTATCCCAAATCAAAGAAATAAGAAGATAGTAAAATCCATTTATTGTGATATAAAAACATTATTATTATCGTTCTAAATAAATGACCGCACGCCTATGATACGTCATGAAATTACAAAGGACGCGCCGACCAAAGGTTTTTATGCTATTTCAAGTGACTTCAGATAAACTATACGTTCAAACCATTGCGTGAACCCTTAGAATCATCATCAAAAAGTTGTTTTAATGTCCGGTAGACTGAACAAAACACATGCTAGCTCGCTCATGGTCGGCTAAAATTATTTGTGTTGTCGCACTTATTCCCAGACTTTAAGAAGGGGGGCAGGGGCAGGCAGCGCAGGTAAAAACTGGATCGCGATAACAATACTGCCTCAATCTAGCTTTTTGTGTTATTAGTGATGTTGACGGAATGGGCCCCCCCGCGGCGGCGCGATGCTGATCTCACTCTCATCCTTTTTATTCAGTACGACGTTTCACGCTCTGTGCTACACCTGTGTTCTAATGTCTCCTGTGATTTAACTGTTACGATCTTGGCTCTACTGTAGACTTTTAACATTTTTTTGCTCGTGATTCGGATTTGTTTGATGAATCTCAACGACTTGGCGCTACTGTGGAAATTGATTTTCTGCACATTATGGCTAATCGACGATCAGGTGAACATTGTTACACGGCAAGCGAGTATGCTGAGATGCATCTTGTTTATGGAGAAACAAGGCGTGTTAACACTAGAGGTGGAGCAAGTTATTCTGCCAGGATTTACGCTGAGCGGTATCCGAACCGTCAGCACCCAGCTTATGGAGTATTTTTAAGAGTACACAACGCTTACTCACAGGGTCGATTTCCTGGTGGTCCTCGTAGTGAAGGAAGACCTCGGAGACATAACGACGAGTTGTAGAGCACGTAACAACGGATCCGTCGACGTCGCTGCGCGCTATTGAACGAAGAACTGGCATTCTAAGATCATCGGCACACCGAATACTGCAAACGTTAAGATACCATCCGTATCACGTGCAAAAAGTGCAGTCTCTTTTACATAGAGATTATGCACCGCGTGTACAATTTTGCCGAAAAATGATCGAGCTAAGCCGAGAAGACCCCAACTTTTTTAATCGAGTTTTGTGGAGTGACGAATCCACCTGTAAGAAAGATAGCTACACAAATCTCCACAATCTACATAGCTGGCAAATATCAAACCCTCATTTAATAAGAGAGGACCGTTCTCAGTACCCGTTCAAAATCAATTTATGGACTGGGATTTTTGACGGCAGAATTGTGGGTCCAGTGGAATTACCTGCAACATTAAATTCGGCAAATTATTTAGAACTATTGACAGACACATTGCCGAGACTTTTAGCAGAAGAACCAGAGGATTCAATACAAACAATGTGGCTACAAAATGACGGATGCCCAGCACATTTTGCACGAGAAGTGAGGGCCTACCTTGATGAGGTTTTTCCTAGGCGGTGGATTGGCCGTCTGGGGCCAATTCTATGGCCACCAAGGTCGCCAGACCTAAACCCTCTAGATTTCTTTTATTGGGGTTGCCTCAAAGATGTATTCGCGACCGAACACACCGATTGGATCCCTGGAAGAATTAAGAGAGCGTATTAACCAGGCTGCACAACAAATTTCTGTTATGAGCTTGAGGCGCCTAAAACAAAAATTTTTGAGAAGATGTGCATTGTGCATTCGTACTGGTGGCAGACACTTTGAACATCTTTTATGAGCATCGTAATTGGTTACTTCTTTATTGATGTTTTTGGTTGATTAAAGTTGAAAATTGAAAGTACTTTCTGTGTTTTTTTGTTTACCTTACATTGAAACACCAGTTTTTGATTCTTATACTTTTTTAAACAAGTATTGAGCTGTGTAACAATAGTTTGAACATTCAATCAACGTGAAAAGCAATTATGATTTGAAAAGTGTAATTCTGAAATTCGACCCATTTCGCCCTTGCACTCTAAGAATTTTTATTCTCCTACTCTGTTGAGGTAAATTACCTGATTTGTACCATTTTCGAATCTTCATTAACTGGGCTATTTTTCGGAGAGGTTTGCCAAACAAGTCCCATACATTTTTCTTATACCACTGTTAGTCGAACTTACAAGAAACTTTTTGGTGCAGAAAAAAATTCCAAAATAGCGCTGCGATTTCAAAATTACGTGACTTTTAGAATAAAACTGTTTGTAGTTTCATGCTTCAATCATTCGCTAATAATAATAGTGAAAATAAAAATAAACCCTAAACGCGGCACCTGTCGTCGAAAGTTTGACGAAAGTCATACTTTTTGTTTTAACGCAAAGGTTACACGTTTTTTTTGTCAGGTCTTTACCGCAATTGAGAGGTCATTATCTAAGGTATCTCCCATTGCAATTTGATTCACATATTCTGGGACACCCTGTAGACCCTGTTCACGATGACCCAAGTTGCGCCACTGTACTGTCTCATTTTGCCCTTGTAGAGCAATGAAAGGTGGTGGACCTCGAAATTTACATATTCAGCATAACTTTGTGTACAATTTTAGAAATGATTTATTTTTGAGAGCTTTACCACCCTGTATCTCGGATATACGTTCAAGAGATCACTCCCTTCAATACTTCTGAATCTTGCAGCACAAGATGCTTGAGTAAAGGGTGAATATACCATAGACGAACATAGAAACTGGCGCATCCAGAACATTACCGCACCGTCTTCAAAATCTTTACTGCTACTGCCGTTTGTTTCTGTAATTAAACTCACGAAACATAAAACAAACTCGTATGTGTTTTATTTACATTTCTAAGTCAAAGCACATCCATCCGAATGATTCCTCAAAGGATGCCGCTCGCTCTAAAAAAACGTCTTAGCGCCGGGATCGCCCTAAATACCGAATAAACCCCTTGTTAAGACTGTCATTCTTCCTTTATCCCCCAAAAAAGAAGCTTAGTCCGGTGGAATTAGATTTGTGACAGCTAACAGTGCGAGTTCTTAGAGTGATGATGCGGAACCGTTGCAAAAAGTGCTGGGATCTTGAATTTGGATAGTAAGAGACTTTTGTGTCAACACCAAAAAAGAAAGTTTTTAAGTATCGGTTCAGTGATGGGAGCATTATGTAAAATACAATCATGAATGCTTGTTATAATTGTTAGCTTCTTCCATAAACGTAGTGGTGAATGAGTGGTTATAATAAATTTTCTAAGCGATTAAAATAAATATTATTTGAACAGGTTATTAATTTTAGGCCATCCTGAATCTTTGATTAGTTAATGATTCACATAATCGCTCCTTTGTTTTAAAATTGAGGAAGTGTCTGTTGGTATATAATAGTTTCAGTCTAAAATAGCATTTTTTGATGAAGCTATTGAACATGCGTGTGAAAACGTAGGTCTTCGTCTATGAGTAGACTTAAACTTTTGCATAGATACATGATTAATAAATTTTAAATCTATACTGCTTATTCAATAATTGGGTTGCTTTTAGATGTCTCCGTTTTCTTTTTTGCAAAATAGTACATTTGATTTTTGAGGATTGAATTGAAGCTTAACAATAATTGAGTATCATCGGCATAACAAGTTACACTCGAGTTTATAATTTTGACGAAATCAAAATATTAAGATCAAGAGTGGCCCGAGGACTGAACCTTGTGGTACCCCTGAAGGAACATTCCATAAATTTGAAATACTTGTTCCCAGAAGCACCTGTTGCTGTCTGTCTTTAAGATTTGACGCTAGGAAACCTAGTGCCAGCTTATCAAATCCAAGCTAAGTAAACTAGTTTTACTTTACTATAGATAATACTGAATAAGCCCATCTATTTAACTATACCCCCCTTCCTACAAAAAAAATTCGTCACAAGGTGCCGACAGTCATGTTTTCCTAGCGAATAGGATTAGGGACATCGATACAAGTAACTAGATCGAGATGATAAACAGACGAAGAAGCGTAATCCTAACAAAGCAGCTGTTTTTTGTTGATAGATGGAGCATGTGACACGAAAATTAGGGAGCGGATGCATAGCCTACCTGGATAAACTGAAGTTCCAACGTTAAATGTTGAGAAATGGACGACGGCGCGAACAAAAGATAGAGGGACGCGCCTACTTAAACTGGAGAGTTCTCGCTAGGAACGTTTAAGGAACATAATGGGTGTAGTGAAATTGATACTAGAGAAACGGACGGACAAAAAGGCAAGGAGAATAGTTATAAAAGGTGCTTGAAACAGCTTTATCGGACGAGGGGCCTCTTCAACAGAAATCAATAGGTGCAGAATCAGTAATGTTTAGTCACTGCCGACTGGCCAATTATCATAAAGGTACGTATGGATTACGTGTTTTCGAACTTTGACTTCAGTCGGCCAATCGTAAAATTTGAGTGCTCCCAGTCGGACACTGAAAGATTTCTAAATAACAAGCTCTATACTCTACTATTTTTGGCATTTCAGATCCATGAACAATGCATATGAAACATAAGTACTTGAGGGACAATCAACCGGTATGTTGTGACAACAGTTTTGTATAGGTCTTGATGTTTTCTGAGAGCACTTAGTGTTTTCGGGACGATAGGCGAAGGTGACATATCTAGTACATTAAATTACGACAGATAACCTCATACTCGCTTGTCGTTTTGGGGACTAGACGTCCTGAAAGCAGTAATACCTACCACAGGTGATCATATTTTCTGGAGTTACGTTAAAATGGAAACAATGAAGAAAAGCAAAAACTAATGATCTGTCACCTGGGAAACATAAAGTAAATTGTCATTAGTTGTCATGTATACTTGAAAAAGGTCACCGTGGTGACCTGAATGATCAGTCAACAGTAACTAAGACATATGTAGTTTGATGTTTCAGCAAGCTGATGAGAAAATGGAATTTTGAAAATTTACTCTGACAGCAGATCAGACACTGTTTTTCAAACTGAAACAAGAATTAATAAAATAAATTCGTAAAATCATGTATCTCTTAATCTGCAATTACGTTATCCAAATTTAGATAGTTGTACAACGCATTGAAAATACTCAGGATCTACAAGTTTTGGTGAAAAAAAATGGGTAGATATTGCAAAGCGTTAACCGTACCCGCAACTTGCTGCAAAGGGGTACAAACAAGAATTCAAAGGGTCATCCTTGATGATCCTGTATCTTGTAACTGCAGCTTGTAGAAAAACTTTAGGCTCATGGCCATTGTTGTTCTACAAGTTGATATCTACAAATTATACCACTTTTCTTTTTCTACTCCTCTGCCATAAGTCCTGACGCAATAACCTGTCATATTTTGTAAGAAAATCGCTGTGTGCAAAGGAGAAAGAAAAGAATATAAGTATCATAACTCAGTTTGCAAACACAAGATTCATGGTTTGAGTTTTGCCGCTACTGGAAAAAGAGTTACTTTTCCCAAATATTTAAAATTACAATTTAATCAAACTTTGCTAACATCTGTATTACTATATTACTAAATGAAATAACACCATAATATCTAGAATTGCAAAACAGACAATTGTATAGAAGATAGGGATAAAAAAATTTGGCTAACTATATTTTATAATAAACGTCGGAAAAACACTATTTCGCATGCATTTAAAAAAATAAATGTTGTTATTGCGATCTATGGAAGAGTTGTAGTACTGCTGAAGACCTTCAAAGTAATACTCTATATATTAAATTACAAATAATATCTGGATGTTATAGCCTTTGTGACGACTAAGACTCATAAAAATTCATCACACTTTTTTCATGCTTTTCAGTTGCCCAAGGTTTCTAAACCACTTTTTTAATGTACCCGATTATTTTTAATTTTGATGTTCCACTAAAAATTCTCTCAGCAAAGGTTTTGTATCCCTAGAAAGAAGCCTCACTTTCCCCCAAGAATATAAGCTCTCTTGCAAAATCCATATTTTTCTGCAACAGGATGCTTCTGAAAGACACTATGTTGAGGTCGTTTAGTTTCAAGGTCAACTCGTGCACAACCATGTATCACAAGACAAATAAATATGAAAATCACGAATTCAAAATAGCTGCTAATAGAAGATTGGATAACAAATCTCGCAAATTGTGAAATAGTAAGACTCACTTACTCATATTAAAACTAATAATCGTATCAATATTTTGCGATTATATAAGAAATTAAAAAAGGACTAAAAAGATCACGTCGATTACTGAATAAATCCAAAATATGTGACCTTACATCTGATATACTCGCAAGTTGTAAGGAATATTAAATTGTTTACAGCCACCCACAAAGTCGGTATCAATTTGTAGTTTTTTGACTTTATTCGCTGATGTTATGTAAAAATCGTGAATAAATTACTATTTATCCCTAGTTAACGTGATCTATTCACAGAAGTAGTGGTTCATATTGTGAAATTAAGCAAATCCGTTTCAAAGAGAATCAGGTATACGTTCTCAGGATCCCATACAATCATTCCTTTTTGAACTAATTACTATTCCTTATCCTATACAATTATCCAAATCCCAATACACAGCCCTTGCAGGTGCATTTTAATGCCCAGCATTAACAACTAAATCCGATTAAGCAGCAAAGCGAATAATGCTCAATAAAAATCGAAACGGTAATGCATCCCCAAGGACAAGAGAAAAATCTGCGTGGGAGACACAACTTGGACAAACAGATTGCCATCGCCTTGAGCCAGGAGCGAAGCCTGGTAGCAACGTTTTATAAGGGTTGGGGGTCGTAGGGGCTCAATCGCTCATTATACGCTTTGACGCTCTTCTAGAGTAAATAGTAGAAAGGGAGGAGAGTGTTTGGTGATTAGAAATTTTCTTTGTTGTGAATGCATAGTTATTATGTATACGGTAGGAGGGTGGATTCTTTAGTTATTCGGGAATGTGTAAATATTCAATGTCACGATCATAATAGAACGATTTTTTGTCAGCTGAAAGTATTGAGCATTGTCATTGGAAGTGAGGAACTTGGTGAGAATTTTCTGAATGTGTGCCAGAAAACAAAGACAGACGTGTTTACTGTGTGCTCTTAGTTTTTGGTGATTTTAAATGGTAATAACGTGCGTTTTTTCTCCAATTTACATGTGCGTGAGCGTAGTAACGCGTTAGCTGTCGTTGTATTCTTTTTTTAATGAAGAGAACTGCTTTCTTCAATCAATTATGGCCGATAAATGTGCAGAATGCCAGTCGCTGGTAAACCGTTCCAAACCAGGTATATCGTGCAGTGGTTTTTGCGATCAGTTTTTTCACATTTCTTGTATGGAAATTCCATATGACGTATTGAAGGTAATTAAAACACCTGGTTTATTTTGGTTTTGCCCATCCTGCGTTAATAAAAGAACGGATTTGGATTTTGTTTCTACTAGGATAAATAAAAAGGTCGATGCACTTATTTCCAATATCCATGAGTCCTTTAACGAAGCAAAATCTGTTCTAATAAACAAGATTGATGAACAGTTTGATCAAGATACCTTAAGAAGGATGCCTGCGACGGATGCTTCATATGCAAACATTTTGAAAAAAAATGTGAATTTAATTGTTAAGCCAAAAAACAACGATCAGTCTCATGCAGCGACAAGACTTAAGATGCGTCAGTCTGTTGATCCGGTAACTAATAACATTAAATTTTCTCAAGTAAAAAACATAAAAAATGGGGGATTACTTATAAAGTGTGATGGATCTGAAGATGCCAGCAAATTGAAGGAGTTGGCTTCATTGCACCTTGCTGATGATTATGAAGTCAAGGAAGTGAGGAAGTTTAACCCCCGTTTGAAAATTGTAGGAATGTCTGAGTGTATTGACAAAGATCAGCTCAGTGTTATACTGAAGTCTCAGAATAGTGTACTTCAAAATGATAGTGAGTGTACTGTGTTAAAAGTGTGGCCAACTAAGAAGTCAGGTGATGTTTTTCAAGCTATTCTAGATGTTGACATTGCTACATACTCGAGTATTCTTAGTCGAGGCAATCTTATTGTTAATTTTGAAAGCTGCATTGTATATGATGCAATCAGTCTGAGGTTGTGTTTTAAATGTTGTGGGCACAATCACTACGCTAAAAATTGTAAAAGCAAAGTTCAAGTTTGTGTAAAATGCTCTTTAGATCATAAATTATCTGAGTGTAGGTCGGCCTCTTTGAAATGTATCAGTTGTGTCAATGCTCGACTTCCAAATTCGAATCATGCTGCTTGGGATGCAGACAACTGCACTTTGTATATGAAGAAACTGGCAGAATATAAAAAATCTATTATTGGTGATATATAGCAACTATCTTGTAAACAGTTAGAGCCAACTTATGTGAATGTTGATGATTCTGTTCCACTTAATCAGACGGATTTCTCTATATATTACCAAAATGTCAGAGGGATAAAAACTAAGCTGAACACGCTATTAAATGCTTCATATGCTAGTTCTTACGATTTGTTAGCTTTGACTGAAACTTGGATAGATGATAGTATTAATGATGCAGAGTTTATGAGTAGTGATTATTGTGTATTTAGATCAGATAGAAAATATGTACAAACTGGCCAAACTAGGGGAGGTGGTGTTTTATTAGCGATTAGTAAGGTATATGAGGCACATGAAGTAACCATTGCATCTTCAGTTTAGAAATTGATATTGTTGGGATTAAGATTCAGCTTGCTCGTAATGCTATCTACGTTATCCTCGCTTATATTCCTCCTAATATGCACCTAGATGCATTTGAATCTTTTGTTGATGACATTTTGGCGATTGATTTTTTTGGTCCAAATGATTTTGTTATTTTTCTTGGGGATTTCAACATTCCCAGTTACGTGAATAAAATGTGGGATGATTCTTACAATGATAACTACTTATATGCTATCTCTAGTATGAGCAGTTTCTTTAATTTAGCCCAATACAATCGCATTCGTAACGAATATGATCGTATACTGGACTTAGTCTTCTGTAATAATTATGTTCATGTGAGAAATGCATCTGATTTTCTTTTATCAGTTGATAGGCACCATCCTCCGATAGAAGCGCTCTTTTCACTTCCGCGTTCTCTGAATAACGTACGCCCAAATAATAATAATCCGCAATATAACTTTAGGAAAGCAGATCTTCCTGCACTCTACACCACTGTTATGGATTCAGATTTCTCTTTTCCATCGGACATCCTCGACATTAATATTGCTTGTGACCTGTTTTATAGTAAATTGTATAACGCTTTCGATAGGCACGTTCCATGCACATTACCAAAGGATAACAGATACCCTCCCTGGTTTTCTCGTGCAATAATCTTTAAACTATCAAAAAAACATCGCCTCTGGAAGCGATACAAGAGTACTTTGGTTAGATCTGACTATGAAGCTTTCAGTAACCTGCGAAGAGCCATCAAAATTGATATAGACTTGGCGTTTTCTAATTTTGTTGCGAGGACTGAGCGTGCCCTTGCGCAAAACCCCAATCAATTTGGTCCTTTGTTAACTTGCGCAGCAACAGATCAGGCATACCCAACAATATGTCTTTGGAAAATGAGGAGTTCAGGAATCCACAGGAAATTGTTGATACTTTTGCCAAGTATTTCCAGTCCACCTACATCACGTCTTCTCAACCATCTGCTGATTGTTCCGTTACAGAAAATATATCGTATCTTCCTATAGTGACTATTAATGTAGAGCATGTACGGAATGCAATGAAACGATTAAAGACTAAATGTTCCACTGGCTTGGATTCCATACCTTCATTTTTTCTAAAAGACTGTGCGTGTGTTCTTGCTGAACCTTTGACATATCTTTTCAATTTGTCCTTGAAATCTGCCACCTTTCCTAGAAAATGGAAATTGTCTAAAATAACACCTGTTTTTAAGAAAGGCGATCGATCGCAGGTAGAGAATTACAGGGCTATTGTTATTTTAAGTAATATTGCCAAAATTTTTGAGTTTGTTCTTTTTGATATTTTGTTCTCTCATGTAAGTCGGTCAATATCGACGAGTCAACATGGTTTCTATAAGGGTAGATCTACGTGTAGTAATTTGGCATGTTTTAAGCAGTACTCCGCATCAGTTCTGGATAATGGCGGGCAAGTTGATGTAGTCTATACTGACTTTTCGAAAGCTTTCGACCGGTTGGATCACGGTGTTCTATTGCAGAAGTTGTCTAAGTACGGCTTAACATCTAGATTCTTAGCTTTCTTTCATTCATACATCAGTGATAGACAATTATGTGTGGACTTCCGTGGATATAAGTCTGGTGCGGTTTTAGCTACATCAGGGGTGCCTCAAGGTTCTGTTCTGGGTCCCCTATTATTTTTAATTTTTATAAATGATGTTATAACAGACTTGCGTTGTGATTACTTGCTATATGCCGATGACCTCTAAATTTTTAATAGCGTTTGTTGCTCAGAAGACAGTTTAAAGTTACAAGCTGATTTGAATGTCATTGATCACTGGTGTAAAGTAAATAACATGCACTTGAATGTCAATAAATGTACTACTATGACGATTACACGTAGGGTGGAACCAAGATGTTTTAATTTTGAAATCGGTAGCAATGTTCTTTGTCGTGTTAATATCGTCAAGGATTTGGGAGTATTATTCGATCAAAAGCTTTCTTTTATTGATCACATTAATGCAATAATAGCAAAAGCATTTAAAAATCTAGGATTTGTTATAAGAAACAGTAGACATTTCAATAATAATAATACATTAATTTTACTTTTTAATGCTTTTGTCAGATCTATTTTAGAATACTGTTCGATTATCTGGTACCCGGCCTATGATATACACTGTAGAAACATCGAGAGAATCCAACGTCGTTTTGTGAAATACTTATGGTTTAAAGATGATAGAGCGTACCCTGAAAGAGGTATACGCAATGACATTCTCTTAAGTAGGTATAATTTATCTAATTTAGTCAAACGTAGGAATCTGTTAGCTGCTAAATTTTTATGTAATTTGTTGAATGGAACAATTGATTGCCCTTTTCTTTTAGACAGGATCTCTCTACGCGTTCCCGATTTGCGTACTCGACATAGTGATAACAATTCATTTTATTTACCTGTTCCGCGGACAAATTTATTGTTATTTTCTCCTCTTTATGTTATGTGTAATGTCTGTGACAGTGTAAGTGAACTTGATACGTTTAGTACCTCCAAAATCAATCTCAAGAGTTTATTTTTAACAATTGGATAATTTATGTTTATGTTTATACTGCTTACATTTTTGTTTTTGTATCACTTTTTGTTTTTCCCTGCCTGTTAATTGGAACACTCTGTTCAGGCAGTGTATGGATTATAAATAAATAAATAAATAAATAAATAAAACTAGCACCGCTGCTATTAGTCGGAACTGTCATGGATCTCAGTTCCCGTTTAATAGCCATGCCGCTAGATGGCTGATGTTTCTAGCTCATTGTAGAAGTGGTCTTCTTGCCATTGAACAGGTTAAACAAGTTCCTATGTAATCTGTCTAATGTCGAAAAAAAAGAAACAATGTCACTTGTCAACGAAATGAAACATGATAGCACGAAACATGAAATAACAGATGTCTTAGGTTCATTTGCGGGCAAATTTAAGATGTACCAGGGAGAGTCTCAAACATGGAAATTGCACCAGCTTTATCAAGAGAAAACGAATAAATGATCAGCCGTGATTTGTTGCCATGCGAGTTGAAGTATCATAAATTAAATATTTAGCAGGTCGAACCTTGCTACCCATACACAAGCCCCCGAAATTCCAATGGCACCATCTTCCGAGAAATTAACACATCACCAACTACGGAAATAATAAATTCTGCCGAAATGTCTAAATATTATAATGCCCTCTCCGCTCTTTCATCTACTCTTCTCCGATTTCGATAAATCATTATATCATCTATCATCGGCCTATTATGCCATTGCTGGTGTTTCGCCAAGGGCATTTCGGCCTCTGTGTTACAACAAAGCTCGTTTCAGAGTCGGTCACTCACGGCCGATGAATGAAATCGGGGTACGCATTTCATAGCTGTTATACGGGATATTCAATGGGGAAGTTCATCTGACAAAAAAAAAATCAGACATCATACGGTTGTCAAAAGTAGCTTGTTCAGTGTCAGCTGGGAGAGCAATGGTGACGTATTTGGCCTGTTAGGCAATGCAATGTTATGGAAAAAATTAAAAAGCAACGGAAACAAGAACATTTTTTTCCGATGAAAGCCATCAAATAGAACATTGATTCCCAAAGTGGTCTATATCGACCCCTAGGGGTCTATGACAACCTGCAAGGGGTCTACGTCAGCGAAAAAAAATTTGGGGGTCCATGAAATGAATATGGGGGTCCACGATAGTGGATCTCAACACATACACTGATAGTACCTATTTACTTTCATCATACTATCTTATAATATCAAAACATATACATTATTTATAAAAGTACCTATGAAGTAAAAATTTTATTATATATGTTTATAAAATTGTGTAAGTTGTAGGATGTTGGTATTCGCTTTGTGGTCGCAATACATTTTGAACTTGTAAAAACCTGAGAGTCGCAGTCTCAGAGCTTCGCTACCTTGCACTGACTTGTTCAATTCGTCACTCTATAAATACGAATGTGGGACAAATACGTTTATTCGTTTCCTGAATCTTGAAAAGGAAAGTGCTAAGAAAATATTTTGAAAATATAAACAGATAGTATGTCACACAAATTATAGTGAGTCAGTGTTATTTTGTTTGAGAGTGCTGGAGAAAAGTAAGTACATTATTTTTTATTAAATTTTAGTTTTGTACTCGTAGTTAGCAAAGATAGATAAATTACGCCAATCATGACTTTAGTTATTAGTAGTTAAATATTCAATCATGCAAAATTACACGAGTACTCCTCAATAGTTTCTTTTTGAAAGTTTAGACAATCGGTAATATAATTACAGTGCAATCTCCGTAATTCGAGCAAATTGTTGCAAGAAGATGTTCGAATTATGAAATGTATTCGGAAAAATCAAAAAATATTTTTAATATACAGCTGCTGGATTTTCTGTCTTATTTAAATAATTTAATTTTGCCCACAGATGACTGATGCCATGTCCGAATCTAAAAAGAAATGTAGACAGTATAGTGTAGATCATTTGAAATTTGGCTTCATTCCATCATTGCCGGACAAACAATCGCCTATGTGCCTTTTATGCAACAAAGTTTTGGGCAATGACGCTATGAAACCATCTAAACTGCAAAATCACCTGAGAAGATGCCACCCTGATAAAACAGAGAAAGATTTGAAATACTTTCAAACACTCAAAGATAAATTTCAGAAGAGACCTACACTGGACAGAATGTTCGCTTCGACGTCACAAAGAAATGATGATGGTTTGCGGGCGTCTTACAATATCTCATTACTTATAGTAAAATCCGGAAAACCGCATACTATGGGAGAGAAGTTAATTTTGCCAGCCGGTGAAGAGGTTTTAAAAACTGTTTTACACAAACCTGCATCTGATATCATTAAAAGAATTCCCTTAAGCAACAATACTGTTGAAAGACGTATTGATGAAATGAGTTCTGATATTGAAAGCTTCTTATGTAATTATTTGCAAACGACCCATTTCTCTATACAACTGGACAACTGGACGAGTCAACTTTACCTGATAATGCAGCATTATTATTGGCATATGTTCGTTTTATTATGAATCAAGAAATCTACGAAGAACTTCTCTTCGCAAGAACTTTGATAACCGACACTAAAGGTGAATCAATATTTCATGTTTTGAAGGATTACTTCATTGAAAAAGCAATTCATTTATCAAATATAATATCAGTAGCTGCAGATGGAGCACCTGCCATGGTTGGACGTTATCGTGGATTTATAAGCTGTTTAATACAAAATGTGTCAGGGGTGTTAGCAATACATTGCGTCATCCATCGACAACATTTAGTTGCTAAAAATTTGAGTGTTAGATTGCATGAATCACTTCAGTTAGTCATTGATGCAGTAAACCGAATCAGAAGCAACGCGTTGAATACGCGGTTATTTGCGCAGTTGTGTGAAGAAAATGACGAACACTTCCATCAATTACTCCTTCACACTGAAGTACGCTGGCTGTCGAAAGGCTTATGTTTGACAAGATTTTTTGCACTTTTTGAGACTATTTTAGAATTTCTGGATACTAAAGATAAAATTTTAAAAGAAAATTTAATGAAGAGGAAAACAGAGAGAGAAACATTTAACAGATTTGTTTACAAAATTTAATATGGTTAATTTGCAATTACAAGGCGACAGTATAAATTTGATTAAAACAAAGTCCATCTTATCAGCGTTTCTTGCCAGAGCTAAACTAATGAAGCAAAATATTGGACGGGCGAATTTTCTCAGTTCCCCAATTTGTCACAGACAAGCTGCCAGGAAGACGACGTTTCAACTTACGTTCAACATTTAAATGCCCTCTATTCAGATTTTGAATCTGGGTTTGAGGATATTTTGACTATGGTAATACCACCGTGGATAATTAATCCATATGGTGACATAGAAGAAACGAATGACATAATACAAGAGGAACTGACTGAACTAAGTACAAACAAAGAACTTAAGGTTCAGTTTAAAAACGGATATCAGCAATTCTGGCTGCAAAACAACATACCCGTTACTTATCCCGTATTATGGAATATAGCGAGGAAATTTCTAATTTCCTTTCCATCGTCATACCTAGTGGAAAGGGGGTTCAGCGCTGTTAAAGATCTCCTAACGAAAAAAGAAACAGACTGGTCATCATTAGCCGAGGAGATTTAAGATTAACCCTTACAAAATTGACGCCAAATGTTGATAATTTATTATTAAAACATCAGGTTCATCTTTCTCACTAAAAACATTGACTTATTGCTTATGTTATTTTATTTATAGTTTATTTTATGGTTATTGGTGTCTGACTAATAAATGCCCGCATTGGGAATAAGTGCCCGCATTGATTTTTTTAAAGAACCCCCCTTTATAGAAAATATTTCTTCTAAATTATTCTGAAAATTCAAGGATAGGTACACACTAAAATTCGTTAATTTTTTGCAAATTTTTAGATAACTTAAACATATAAGAAGCGGAATTTAATCAAAGTAACAGTGAAATTATTGTAGAACATACGTTTATGTTATAATTAATAAACGCACTCGCTTATTGTACTATAAGTAAAAAACTTTTTTTTATTATTTTTCACTTTTTTTATTTTATCCCTCTTATTTTTTTTCAATGCGGGCACTTATTCCCAATGCGGGCACATATTGGTCAGACACCTGTTTATTTAATGTTACGTATATTTTACATAACAGATACAAAATTTTATTTTGAGTAGTTTTAATTTTTAATTCAATTAATAAATGTATAAATTAACATGTGTTTTTACTTTAAGTTTTTAGCACTAAACTTCACTACAGTTAGAAATTTACAGGAAATCAATAGTAAGTATGGGGTCTACCCAACACGGAAAAACATGGCAAGGGGTCTACGACACAAAAAAGTTTGGGGAACTATGAGATAGAAGCTGTTGGCACTGTGGCCTATGTTGACGATCTCAAGCTCCTTTGTCTGATTCGGTCTCTTGATGGTTGTGAAAGGTTACAATGAAAAAAAAAAACAGGCTTGACAGCTGGTGTTGCAAAAATAGCTTGTCTTTAAAATCTTCAGTTATACCAAGAAAACTCAAGCAATCATATTTGATTATGATATTGGAGGTGCACCTTTTAATCGTTCAAGTGAAGTCAAGGACTGTCATTTTTAATGGTAAGAATTGCTTTAATACTCATAAGGAGACAATTATTGCTGAGAATTACAAAAGATTGGACTTTATTGATACGCTGTGGTCGTGAATTCCAGAGAACAGAAATTTGATTGATATAGATATACAGGGTGTTCCTTAATGATATGCGAATATTTAAGGGTGTGAATCTACATGAAAAATGAATGTTACTTTGCTCTATAAACTATGGTCCAAAAATGTTTCCTTACAAAAACTCGTAGGAAATCAATTAATATTTTCAGAACCGCTTCAGATATTTCACTGATATTTAGTACGTAGTGAAAGTTAATAAAGCTGCATATTTATAATGACTTCGATATATTTTAAGAAAAAAATAGTACGCCAATGATTTTTAGCCAAATCAAAATTATTTTTGAATTCTCCCTTTAATTTAAAACAAATGATCTCTCCTGAATTGTTTTCTTTCGATGCGCCATTTTTGAGTAAAAAAATAAAAACCGTTCTATTGTCGGAGAAAATTAATGTTATAATTGAAGAATGCAATTTAACAATAAATATCTGGTTGCTCTGGAATATGTCACTGGCTTTTGACATCTGACAAGTCGCTGTTATTCAAATCTGTTCGCTGTGACATCTTTTTCATTATTTAGTTTTTACAATCTTGTTAATAAAGGTGAATTATTCAAATGCAGAAATGGCGAAAATGCATTACGTGTATGGCCTTGCCGACGGTAATGGTGAGCAAGCCAGACGGATTTATTACCAGAGATATCCCGATCGTGCTTTGCCAGATAGTCGAACCTTTTCTAATATTCATCGTTGCCTTGTTGAAACTGGTTCTGTCCGAAAAGGAACATCTGAAGGTAGACCTCTAAGTGTGAGAGCACCTGAAATTGAGGAAGCAGTGCTGCACGAAGTCGAAGAACATCCTGAAAAGAGTACGAGGAAGATCGCTAGACACTTAAATATTTGCCATCAAATTGTTTGGAGAATTTTAGTAGATTTTTTTTATATCCTTACCATATTTTAAGAGTACAGGCATTACTACTGATTTTCCAAGGCGTATGACCTTTTGTTAACGTATGGGCAGGAATTATTGGCAGCCACTTTATTGGCCCATTCTTCTTGCCGGGACGACTTGACCGACACTCTTACCTCAATTTTCTTCAACAACAGTGGCCTTTGCTGCTTGATGATGTTCCGTTAGTAATAAGAAACAATATGTGGTACATGCATGGTGGTGCACCAGCGCATTTCAGTGTAGCGGTTCGTAATTATTTACAAACTGTTTATCCAAATCGTTGGATTGGCCGCGGTGGGCCCCAAGAATGGCCACCAAATTCCCCAGACCTCAACAGTTTAGATTTCTTTTTGTGGGGCTATCTTAAGACACTAGTGTACACAAGTCCCATTAACACTGTAGAGGAATTAAGAGAAAGAATTGTTGCAGCTTGTGATAAAAAACACTCCAGGGATATTTTAACGAGTGCGCAATTCGATGAGAAGGAGGAAGGAAGCACGCATACTAAGTGAAGGGGGCCATTTTCAAAATTTTTTGTGATCATTTCGTTAGTTTTTCAGTGTTATGTTTATGTTGTCAGTTGTTGTTGTTCATTACCCCTAATGTGTTTAACTTTCCAATTAAATTAATAATAATTTTGCAAGTTAGACGGTTTATTTTACTCAAAAATGGCGCATCAAAGGAAAACAATTCAAGAAAGATCATTTGTTTTAAATTGAACGGGGAATTGAAAAATAATTTTTATTTGGCAAAAAACCATTGGTGTACCTACCATTTTTTCCTTAAAAAATATCGAAGTCAATACCCGTACGCACGCCACTGTTAAAGCTAAAAATTATTTTTGCATTAAAAAATATGCAACTTTATTAACTTTCACTACGTACTAAATATCAGTGAAATATCTGAAGCGGTTCTGAAAATATTAATTAATTTCCATTTTTTTCCTAATACAGTGTGTTGAACCCTGAGTTTTTGTGAGGAAACATTTTTGGACCATAGTTTATAAAGCAAACTAACATTAATTTTTCATGTAGTTTCACAGCCTTAAATATTCGCATATCATTAAGGAACACCCTGTATATTGTATAGTTTGATATGCATAGATCGAAGATTCATCCTACCTAAGTGAACCTCTAACGAAGGTGTATGAAGTATACTCGTAGAGTCAATCTACTTAACGCCATTTTTTAAGACACGTAGCACCTGTGCGGAAAAGGTCAACGAAATGAAACAACATTGGTAGATGACAGGACGAAACACAGATGTTTTATATTCCTTTGGGGACAGATTTAGGACAAACTAGGGCCGAGTGTTTCAAACGCTGAAACTACTCCAGTTTCATTAAAATACAACGCTAAGAGAATATTATGCAAGGTCTGTATCGATACCTAAAACAGGAAGAACATCCTACAAACAGAGAGAGAGAGAAAGGGAGGAGGGCGTCCCTTGATGCGTTCCTTAATAACTGTCGGAAGGTTGCCCTTCGCCCTTTAATTTGAGAGGGTGCGCCCCAATGTCATCGGCGCCGTTTCGCCACCCTCGAAGCAGACAACGCATGGACGCTGTGACGCTGCCCTTGCTTTATTTCCTGTTCGCGTGTAATTGATGAAGAGACTTTCAAATTTGCTTGTTAGGGTACCTACATATGTCTTTGGCGTCTACGATAGATTGAATCGAAATAGAAGCTCATTCATTAATTTGCGTACAATGAATACAGATTTTTTGAAGTAATCTTTTCCTGGAAAAATAAATTCTTCATTACAACTTGTACAATAAACAAACTGGCTCTTAAAACTCATTTGCAACCATCCTGGAAACTCCTTCTCCCGCTCTTGTCTGCTATTTTAATTTAATATTTCTTTAAGAACAGATTAACTTTGGTTTCCTCATTGCTTGTCCCGTGATGCGGTATCTGTACCACTTG